GCTGATGGTACGGATCGTGCTACTGGTACGGATCGGGTAGCGACAGGCATAGATATCCATAATAAAGGCTAGATGTCTTACGGCGGAGTCTCAAACGTCATCACCGGGCGGCCATCTTACCACAGGCAGGCTTTCTGTTGTGCTCTGTGGTACCTAATGTAAGGTGAGTGATCAGCACGAACACAAATACTCTTATCTCATTGAATTCTTGACGGATTTACAAACAGTTTGGTTTCTTACAAACGTTATGAACGTGGCTATAATTCTTGATGCTTGAACATGTCGAAATTGCAGATTTTCTTGTCGAAAAATGACTTGATCGTGCAGCATAGTTGTGCATCACGGTAACTTGCGCAAGTTATCAATAACGATTGTATGACAATTAATCTTTAGTGTAAATTACAATCTTTGTGGATGTGGTTGTAGTTATTAGTTGGCTAATAACAATAATCTGAGTGTTGTTGGATTTTCATTATTAGCCTAACGTTAGCTGGCTAATAACAAGAAGCTGCGAAGTGAGACCTAAAGTTAGTAAGTTAGCAGCTAACGTTACAGTTTAGCTAGCTGCTAACGTTAACCAGCAACTTTACATCAGTGGAAGAGGCAGAATTTATACATGATTAATGCATGATTTCCAATCGATTTGGTTTGTCAAAACATCTTACATTATGTTACAGGAATTTGCTGGGTCTATTAATAGGAAGATGCCAGACTTTTGTGCAGCCTACGGATGCTCCAATCGCCGTAGTGTCAAAACGAGAGCCAGTGGGATCACCTTTCACTGTAAGATATGAAATTATGATTGGTTTTTGGGATAATTGTTAGTTAATTAGTGGATGTATGTACAATACAGGCTCTGGTACACAGGAACAGCGGGGCTATGACTTAATAGTATAACAAGATTGCTGTTGACTCAAAGCTTTTATAAGTTTGTATTAGCTTCGTTTGGACAACTTTTTCTAAGTAGTTTAGTGTGGTTGTGTTATTCTCAAGTGCATACATACATACAATTACCCCAAACATATTTCATTTAGGTGTGTATTTTTGTGCTAACCCTTAATGTTGACAGAAGGAAAAAGCTTTGGAAATGCTGACAATAATTTATACTTCTTGGAACATTTCTCTCGTTTTTAAGGTTTCCCAAAAATGGAAAGATGAGGAGGCTGTGGGAACTTGCCCTAAGAAGGGACAGTTTTGTTGCGACTGACAGGACTCTGCTTTGCAGTGAGCACTTCAGGAGTGAGGATTTTGACTGAACAGGGCAGACAGTCCGAATTAAAGATGGTGTTGTGCCCAAAATTTTCAATTTTCCAGCTCATCTTGAAAGGGTATGTGTATCATTGCAATTTAATCACATATTGATATAACACTCTTATACACAGTGAATTGTTGCTGGTCACTTTTGTTTCTGCAAGATATATAATGTGTTGTTTAGTAGCACCTTTTAGACACTCAAAACCTCTTTACTTAATTTTAGCTAGTAGCCACAAGAAACACAACCACCTCTAGAAGAGTGGAAGACAACCAGCCGATGGACGTGTCCCAGGATGTACCTCAACCTGATGTTGTGAGTGTTTTCATGTGGCTTGTTAAAAACAGTTTGTTATATTAAATCCTTTATCTTATAAAAAGTGTGACTCTGTCGCTCATAAACTTGAATTTATAAACATGTGTGAACATTGAAACTAAACCCAAGGGTAGGCAGCCTTTACAATCAAAAGAGAAATTTTTTTTTCAGAGCCACAAAACATATTTTTGCCTTATAAGTGGACAAGCCTATACAATTACTTAAATGTATGCTGTTGTGTTTTCTGTCGGATAATTGGAGTATCTTGTATTTAGGCTCACGGAATTGAAAAGTTAACATTTAATTTCTTAAAAAAATAAGTAATTTCTATACCACTATTATTTATATATTTTTTTTTATATTTCTGCAAAACAACAGGGAGCCACTGGAGAGAGGGGTTTGAGCTGCAAGCGGCAGGCCACTGACCACATGTATGCATTGCCTGCTTGCCCTAAGGCTATAAAAGCCAAACTTGAAGAAGCCTCAGCAACTGTGAGGAAACTGCAGCGGGAGAAGAGTAATGCCTTGAGGAGAGAAAGAGGGCCAAGATGAACATGCGGGCTATTCTGGAGGAATTGAAGGAGAAAAATCTAATCAATGAAGAGCTAAGAGACAACCTTGAATGCTATTCAGGTGAAATAAAAATATTACATTGAATATTTTGTGTATTTTATGTTCTTTGTTGAGTCCCTAGTTACTATTAAAAAGATACTTACTGAATCACTTTGCTAATTCAATTACAGATCTTCCAGTTCATCTCTTGTCTAGGCAGGGTGTAGAGTACACCAAGGACCAGAAAGATTTTGCCCTCACGCTCCATCTGCATGGTCCAAAGGCATATCACTACCTGAGAGATACCCTGCATATTCACCTGCCACACCCCAGTTCATTGCAAAGGTATTCTTCATGATGTCTAATTTTATATTGAATTACATTAAGCACTACAGACAATAATATCATGAATGGTTAAACTTACTGATCTAACAGCTCATGTCCACAGCTACCTTCCTGTCCGCTTTGATGGTCTTGTGGACAACGCTCTCGTGTACATTTCAGGTAAAGGCTGACTAAAAGTTGATTTTGCCTAAAACCAATGGTGCAAATAGTCAAAACCTGAGGGAAATCAATATCCCAATGGCCCAAAAAGATAAATGTTCCCTTAATTTCCCCATGGTTATTATAAATTATTTTAATAATACAACTCTTATTTCAGGATTTGTTGTTATACGGGCTCTGAAAAAGCTGTCCTGTGATGTCTGCCGTGCCAGCTTGGTAACAGATGCTGCATCTGCCATCAAGGACCAGAGCTACCACCTGCTGAAGTTAAATAACAATGGAGGTCTGGTGATTCCATCAGAAGGCACAGTGATGGTAGTCAGGGCAGCAGAGTGGGTTCTTCGTCAGACCTCATGTACCAGACGATCACAGCCCATCAAAGTGCTAGAGGTCGTGTACATTGTACGGAAGAGGATAGGGTCAGAGGATGTGTTTGTGCTTGGAGAGCACATCGGAGAAACGCAGTATGGCATAGACAGCCACCACCATACGCTGTTAACATTGGTTGTGTCCTTGTTTTTTAAGCTAAGGCTGCACCACATTGCCAAAATAACCAACCTTGGCTTACAGAGCAACAACATGCGACAGAAACACAATAAAACCGTCCTTTTCAAAGGGCATTAACCAAGCTATGTTTTTTGGGTCATTTTTTCATCTCTGTCTTCCATGTGTATACCATCACAGTAGTGTAGGTGGGGATTTCAACATGCTACATCTATATATACTTGTGAAGGGGACTATTGTACCAATTTTAATAGCAAATAAATGTCACTTTTATAATGGTTTAAAAATAGGAACTTTTGTGTAATTACTGATATATAATCAGAATAGTCTACATGAAACTTCAAAGTGTTACCTTTAATTTGAAACCTGGATTATGCTGCTACACCAAGAGGTTGCAACGCAATAAGCCTTTTCTGTTCAGTATTCCATATTTTATTATAATAATAATATTCATATTATAAAAGTATGTATGTAAATATAAATAAATTAGGACTGTGAAATAATTAATCACACCCAAATAAAAGTGTTTATTTATATATATATATATAAATATGTATACATATATATATATATATATATATATAAATATGTATACATATATATATATATATATATATATATATATATATATATATATATATATATATATATATATATATATATATATATATATATATATATATAAATATGTATATATACATAATTTTATTTATATTTTTATAGATCTATAGATATATCTATATATCATGTTACCATTCAGTACACTGAGTTTTAATAGCATATATTGATTTAACATAAATACCTTGTGCATGTGTATATTTATTGCACCTGTATGTTCTATTCAATGTTCTTTTCATATGAAATTCCATGGTTATAATTATTCATAAGTGTGCAGTATCATAACTACATGTCTGACTTTTGTTTAACAAACCAAACAATTAGACAATTGAGGAAGTTATGGTTATTTAAGTACATGCGCCTTTAAAACACAATGTTACGAATGAGCGAGCTGCCTGTGGCAAGATGGCCGCCACGTGCGGACGTCGACCCCCATTGGCCAGCAGCGCGGCCGAGACATCTAGCCTTTATTATGGATATCTATGACTTTTAAGGCCGCATAACGAGGACTCTTGGAATCCGACCAGACCTCGGCGCCGCGCTATGACGTAATCGGCCTTCGAATCCGGTCTTCTAAGGATGCGTCCTAGGTTTTCGAACAGAGCCATCATTTATGTTCTTGAAGATTATATGCTATTATTTAATATCTGTGTTTAAATTGAAATTATCTTTGATATTTTTAGATGCAGTCAATGAATAATGTAAACATTAATCATAAGGTGAAAATTTAGGGGAAAATGAATGAGGATGCTGCCGGACTAGGATTTTAAATCATAATTTTAAAACAATAAGTGCAGTAAAAACAGGAAATAAACTAAGAGTCAATTAAAAATGAACTTTAATTGATATAAGCTGAGTGAATAACTGAGAGGAAAAGGATGAAACAAGGAGAAAATTAAAAACGGCTGAAATGTTTCTGGATCATTTTAATGATAAACAGCAAAATATGAGACTTTATTGTATCAGAAGCATCATGGTGACAGAAATGATTTTAAACCCAGTTTAGTGATTTTAAACCCAGTTTAGTGATTTTAAACCCAGTTTAGTGATTTTAAACCCAGTTAGTTTAGTCAGTTAGAAATAGCTCCTGATCATGACTTCCTGGAAACGACACGCGCACCAATGCAGCTCTTTGGGCTCCACCATCGCTGTTAATGGAGCCATCACTGCTCTACGCGTAGAATCTAGGATTATAGCTCTACATGTCCTGTTTAGATAGAAAACGGCTGAGGCTCGCTCCTCCATGAGGGACACCGCTGAACTGCAGGACAGAAACTCCTCCCTATCGCTGGGGGGCAGCACCGTTAGAGGCCGGCCACATGTTTAAATAACACTGCATTTCCCAGCAGGCTGTTCGGTGTCGACCTTGGATTTCATCGAGCTGCAGCATGTCGAGCAAGGAGCCGAATGTAAGTCCGCTAAATGAGGGCGACTTGAACGGTTTGGTGTTTTCTCTCTGCGGGGCTGATGCTAATGAGACCCGGCTGTTCACCGGCGGGAGGTCCGCTCCTTTAGGGAGGACCGCCTAGCCTCTGCTAGGCTAGCGTTAGCCGGCTAGCTGTAGCTCCATGATAGCAGCGGTTATGTGATAGGAGAGCAGCTGATGCTAATGATGCTAACCTGGACCAGACCGCTGGGACTGGTCAGTCTGACCCAGTCTGCTGCTCCCGGTCCCAGTAGCTGGTCCGTTCCCCTGCCTGTTTGCTGACTGTTTGCTCTTCCACCAGCAGTGACACATGGATTATCCTCCCAATCCTAAACCTGGGAAAGATCCCAGAATCCCAGTTAGCAGAGGAGGCATCACACTGAGGGATTCAAACTCCAAACTCCTAACTGATCAAGTCTGGTTTCCTAACAGGGATTTCAGCTCTAGATGCAGAGAAACAGGCAGGGAAGATCAGTCTGTAATAATATTAGATTGATGGAGATCATTGATCTAGAACCCAGAGAGAAGATCAGGGTTTCCTTCTCTTTCTAGACCACAGGTGTCAAACTGGTTCCAGAAAGGGCCGTGTGGCTGCAGGTTTTCTTTCCAACCAATCAATAGCACACCAGACTCCAGTCATCTCATCAAGTCATCATGTTCAGATTGGACTCTCTTGATGAGATGACTGGAGTCTGGTGTGCTATTGATTGGTTGGAAAGAAAACCTGCAGCCACACGGCCCTTTCTGGAACCAGTTTGACATCCCTGTTCTAGACCTTAGACTGAGTGGATCATCTGTTTATTCTTTCTAATCTAGAACACTTTGGATTCAGAGATTAGAGAATATGTTGGATTATCTGGAGATGTCAGCAGCTGTGTCCTGCTGCCCAGAGGCTCCGCCCCAAGCTTCAGGTGTTCCTCAGGGCTGCTGCGTCTCTCCACACCTGTTCATCTCAGGAATGCTACGTGTCTAAATTAAACAACTTAATTTACTTTGAACAGACATGATTATCAGCCAACTAGCAGATGATGCAACAATATTCTTGAAAGATAGACACCGACTTTAAAGGAATAGTACACCCAAAACATGATTAGCCTTCATTTTCTACTCACCTCCATGCTGAACAACACTCTGGAGTACTTTTTTGATATCTCAAATGCATCTGGAGATCTGGGAGGCTTCTTGCTGTCTGCTGACATTCAAATAATGGAGGTCCATGGCGCCCGAGACAGAAAGGTCCATAAAAGTCCACAAAAAACGTGTCAATATTCCTCCATACTGCTCGTTCCTCCATAAAGCGCGTTCACGAGCCTACGGAAGCCGGCAGACCAAACCAGCGCATTCAGCTCGGCAAAGAACTCCTGCTCTTCCTCAACACTGAAGTCCTCAGACATTTTTCTTTCGTCGTTTCTTTCTTTGCACAGGTAAACAGCACATTTCTTCTTCTACGCTTGCATTATCGGCAGAGCAGACGCTGAATGCGCACTTTCATCTGGTTTGGTCTGCTGCGGTTTCCGTAGACTCGTGAACGCGCTTTCAGGAAATCCTATACACTACTGTTTATGCTCTAAAAACATTCTAAATGACTTCGTTTCGAGTAAATTCTGGATGCTACCCACTCAGGACACTTGGATTACATTGGACGAGCAGTATGGAGGAATATTGACACGTTTTTTGTGGACTTTTATGGACCTTTCTGCCTCGGGCGCCATAGACCTCCATTATTTGAATGTCAGCAGACAGCAAGAAGCCTCCCAGATCTCCAGATGCATTTGAGATATCAAAAAAGTACTCCAGAGTGTTGTTCAGCATGGGGGGGAGTAGAAAATGAAGGCTAATCATGTTTTGGGTGTACTATTCCTTTAAGCAAGGGATAATTAATGTCCCTTTAAATCTGAACTGAAAAACTAGGGAGCAAAACGAAGCCAATTTCTGAATGTAGAAAATCAAATTAAAGAATGCAAGAAGAAGAATGCTACAGAAGATTTATCAATACTAGGATAGATCTACCTCAGATAGAATGCTTATCTAGATGCATCTACGCAGCCTATTCCAGTGTCGTCCCAATTAAACCTATTGATCAAATTAGCCGGCGCTTCATTTAGAGAAACGATCTATGAAGAAAATCAGCTGCTTAAAGATGCAAAGGACGAAGGTCTGAAACTTATCGATTTTAACTGCCTTCATCGAACCCTAAAAATAAATGAGTTAAAATGTTGGATCAAACTCAGCAGCTACTTCTGTTTTTTATTTCAAGAATCTTTTTGAAGAAAATTGGAGGATTGTAATTTCTTCTTTGAGCAAACTTTAATGTAAACAGATCCTCCTGTACTGGAGAATGTTACCTGGAACAGAGGATAAAATCTGCCCCGCAGCAAATCTGTGCTTCGAATATATAATCCATAGCAGATTTAATGGATACCAAGAGTGTTTTATAATTATGAACAGAATTATAATTATGAACAGTGTTTCATTAAACATTTTAAACCCTTAGCTAGACTATAATAAATTACTTAGAGCACTACCACAAGAATTTATGGTAGTGCCAAATACTTTAGCACATCATCCAATACGCCCACAATGATCCCTGTAAAGAATTACTGAGACTTTGCTTAGATGATAATCCAGAAACTGCAGACTTCTGTTCTTCTCATGATCACTGAAGCAAACATAGATGGATTAAACACCAGCGATCTTCAGTCCCAACCTTTATCTCCAGGAACGTCACTTTTGCTCTAATATTGCAAACTAAGGCTGATGAGCTCTGCACTAAGCTATATTTTTCATTTATAAATTATCTCCCAAACTTGTTTTAAATGAGTTTAAGCTTTACATTAAATCATTAAAGATTCTGAAAAGTCCTAAAGCACAAATCATCTGATATTAGGGTTGTCAAAAGTATCGAAATTCAAAAAAGTATCGATACTGAAATGTTGTATCCGGATACAATACTCGTTTTAAAAAGTATTGATACAGTGCCGTCACCAGTGGCACCTAAGCAGTCATTCATCTAAAGTGCAGATTAGAGGACAATGCACTTTCTGAACACTCTGTGATCGAATAATTCTGTGCTCTTTTCAGTTTCAGTCTTTTTTTTTTGTAAGAGGTGCAGCTGCTGAGAATTATTTTTGTTTCTTAACTGGTTTGGCTAGTGTCATTGTTATGTGTGCAAAGCATAGCCAAGGAAGGAACACTTAATTTGAATTTTATACGTTTTTTATCAAGCTTGCTTAATATTATGCACAGCATACAACCTTTATTGTGTTTATTTATTGTATTTTATTTATTAATGAAAATATTTCTGTTGAATTTTGGAGTCTTTGTTTTTATCCTTGGGGTATCGAAAAATGGTATCGAGTATCGAATATTTTCCTTAGTATCGGTATCGAGTTGAAAAGTTTAGTATCGTGACAGAAGTAAACGGCTAAACAAAGACTGAATTCTCCCCTCCTGTTTTAATTTTATTTACATATTGTTTTTTATTTTATAATTGTTTATGGTTTTCTATTTATTTGGTTTAATGTGTTTAAATGTTTATGTGAATAACCCTTTATAGCCAGACCCCTGGATTTACTCTCTATCCTGTCTAGATTCTATGCTTCTATGTTTGTCTGTAAATGTTCATATTTTCAATGAAGGAAAGACAGTTTTCCGTCTCCTCCTGAACTGCAGCGCTTCATCCAGCACCTGAGGGACCTGACGGGCCGCATGTCTTCATCTGGAGGCAGAGGAGCCGGACTTGGCCTGAAACTTCTGCTGGGAGCTGGAGCCCTGGTCTATGGCGTCAGAGAAGCCACCTACACAGGTAGGGTTCACCTCCACACACCATTAGCATGAGCCGTTAGCCACACAGCCTGCAGCTGTTCCATTAGCATTAGCCACACAGCCCGGAGCTGTTCTATTAGCATTAGCCACACAGCCTGCAGCTGTTCTATTAGCATTAGCCACACAGCCCGGAGCTGTTCTATTAGCATTAGCCACACAGCCTGGAGCTGTTCTATTAGCATTAGCCACACAGCCTGGAGCTGTTCTATTAGCATTAGCCACACAGCCTGGAGCTGTTCTATTAGCATTAGCCACACAGCCTGCAGCTGTTCTATTAGCATTAGCCACACAGCCTGCAGCTGTTCTATTAGCATTAGCCACACAGCCCGGAGCTGTTCTATTAGCATTAGCCACACAGCCTGCAGCTGTTCTATTAGCATTAGCCACACAGCCTGCAGCTGTTCTATTAGCATTAGCCACACAGCCCGGAGCTGTTCTATTAGCATTAGCCACACAGCCTGCAGCTGTTCTATTAGCATTAGCCACACAGCCCGGAGTTGTTCTATTAGCATTAGCCACACAGCCCGGAGCTGTTCTATTAGCATTAGCCACACAGCCCGGAGCTGTTCTATTAGCATTAGCCACACAGCCAGCAGCTGTTCTATTAGCATTAGCCACACAGCCAGCAGCTGTTCTATTAGCATTAGCCACACAGCCTGCAGCTGTTCTATTAGTATTAACCACACAGCCAGCAGCTGTTCTATTAGCATTAGCCACACAGCCTGGAGCTGTTCTATTAGCATTAGCCACACAGCCTGCAGCTGTTCTATTAGCATTAGCCACACAGCCAGCAGCTGTTCAGTTAGCATTAGCCACACAGCCTGGAGCTGTTCTATTAGCATTAGCCACACAGCCTGCAGCTGTTCTATTAGCATTAGCCACACAGCCAGCAGCTGTTCAGTTAGCATTAGCCACACAGCCTGGAGCTGTTCTATTAGCATTAGCCACACAGCCTGCAGCTGTTCTATTAGCATTAGCCACACAGCCTGCAGCTGTTCTATTAGCATTAGCCACACAGCCCGCAGCTGTTGTATTAGCATTAGCCACACAGCCAGCAGCTGTTCTATTAGCATTAGCCACACAGCCAGCAGCTGTTCTATTAGCATTAGCTACACAGCCTGCAGCTGTTCTATTAGCATTAGCCACACAGCCAGCAGCTGTTCTATTAGCATTAGCTACACAGCCAGCAGCTGTTCTATTAGCATTAGCCACACAGCCCGGAGCTGTTCTATTAGCATTAGCCACACAGCCCGGAGCTGTTCTATTAGCATTAGCCACACAGCCTGCAGCTGTTCAGTTAGCCGTTAGCCACACAGCCTGCAGCTGTTCTATTAGCATTAGCCACACATCCCGGAGCTGTTCTATTAGCATTAGCCACACAGCCAGCAGCTGTTCTATTAGCATTAGCCACACAGCCTGCAGCTGTTCTATTAGCATTAGCCACACAGCCCGCAGCTGTTCTATTAGCATTAGCCACACAGCCCGCAGCTGTTCTATTAGCATTAGCCACACAGCCCGGAGCTGTTCTATTAGCATTAGCCACACAGCCCGGAGCTGTTCAGTTAGCCATTAGCCACACAGCCCGGAGCTGTTCTATTAGCATTAGCCACACAGCCCGGAGCTGTTCAGTTAGCCATTAGCCACACAGCCCGGAGCTGTTCTATTAGCATTAGCCACACAGCCCGGAGCTGTTCAGTTAGCCATTAGCCACACAGCCCGGAGCTGTTCTATTAGCATTAGCCACACAGCCCGGAGCTGTTCAGTTAGCCATTAGCCACACAGCCCGGAGCTGTTCTATTAGCATTAGCCACACAGCCTGCAGCTGTTCAGTTAGCCGTTAGCCACACAGCCTGCAGCTGTTCTATTAGCATTAGCCACACAGCCCGGAGCTGTTCTATTAGCATTAGCCACACAGCCAGCAGCTGTTCTATTAGCATTAGCCACACAGCCTGCAGCTGTTCTATTAGCATTAGCCACACAGCCCGCAGCTGTTCTATTAGCATTAGCCACACAGCCCGCAGCTGTTCTATTAGCATTAGCCACACAGCCCGGAGCTGTTCTATTAGCATTAGCCACACAGCCCGGAGCTGTTCAGTTAGCCATTAGCCACACAGCCCGGAGCTGTTCTATTAGCATTAGCCACACAGCCCGGAGCTGTTCAGTTAGCCATTAGCCACATAGCTTTGAACAGCAGGAGCCATAAATCTGATGGAATCTCCAAATAAATATAAAGAATGTCTTTTCTTAATGATTTAGCTTTTCAGTTTCTGATTGTTATAGAAAAGCAGTAATATTTCCTGAATGTTTGCGGCCTTCAGGCCTTCAGACATGAATCCATCGGTAGCTCTGAGTGTTTCTATGGCTTCAGCTGCTCCGTCTGACTGTCTGTCTGTCTGTCTGAGCAGTGGAGGGCGGCCAGAGAGCCATCATCTTCAACCGGATTGGAGGGATGCAGATGGACACCATCCTGTCAGAGGGACTCCACTTCAGGTAGCGTCTGCAGCGCCTCCACATGATGGAGGTTCATCGGTTTCTGGAAGATGGTCTTCTTCAGACCATTAGCTTCATTTTCTAACTTTGAAGGAAATATTTTATTGTAGTCGCCTCAGCTTTGGTCGGCGGTCAGACGTTCTGACGCCCCGTAGGAGGGCTTTTTCTTCCGCCATGTTTCAGGAGTTCTCTGCTTCGCTCTGGGAACCCCTGATCCAGCATGAAGGACAGAGGCTCCTCGAGGGTCGGCCCCATGGCCCCCCACGGGCTGCCCCTGTTTAACCCTGTTTCTCCTGGTTATCAGGGTGATCAGGTTCATTAACAGCTGTTATCAGTACAGATGATGTCATCGGGTTGTTACAGACATGGGCAATGTGGAGTCAACAAGTCATCTCCATGTCATGTCTTTGTTCTACCCAGCCAATTAACCAGGTGAGTCCAATCTTCACCGTGAATTAACCTGTGCAGATTGGACTCACCTGGTTAATTGGCTGGGTAGATTAAAGACATGACATGGAGATGACTTGTTGACTCCACATTGCCCATGTCTGGGTTGGTAAATATAATCCTTCAACATGAATCCGTCCTCCTTGGAACTAAAACCAGTAAAACTTGATTAAATCAATAATCCATAGAGGTCAGTGGGTCACCTGTCGCTATCAGCCGACCTGAACGAGCTTCTCAGATCATCAGTGGCTGCAGGCTGTTGCCATGGTGACGACATCACCTGTGCTGTCTCCATACTGCAGGATCCCATGGTTCCAGTACCCTATCATCTATGATATCAGGGCTAAACCCAGGAAGATCTCCTCGCTGACCGGAAGCAAAGGTAAGGATGATGATGATGATGATGAAGGTCTGCTGTCATGCTGATGATTGACCTTTAACCTTTGCACTGGGAGGCTGTAAACTGGCGCTGCTGCTGCTAACGATTAGTTTGCTAATTATAAACCGATTAATTAGCGGACAGACTTCCCTCTGAGGAGCTGTGATTGGAGCGCGCTGACAGAAGATTAACGCTTTTATTTATTTAGGATTTAAATTTATAGATGCTGCTGTCTGTCAGCTAAAGGCTGCAAATCAGACTAAATCTGACTGTTTCAGATTTACAGTAAACTAACCTGTGGCTCAGTGACGCTAACGGACATGATGGCGGCTCCTCTGCTGATGGATGGCGTTTAAAAATGGCTTCCATCAGAGACAGACTCCGCCTCCTCATCAGAGCGGAGCTCTCTGGGCTCCCAGCAGCAACATCTGGCTGAAAGTAGATATTCTGCCTAGTTATCCAGCCAGATGTTCAGCAGGTTCTGATGGTACCGGATAGGGCTGCAACAACCAATCGATAAAATCAACTTTTAAAAGCGTTGGCAATGAATTTCATCATCGATTAGTTGTGTCGCGCAATTAATGCGTCATCCGCCGCCGCCGTCATCACATCCACTTGACTGAAACGGGGGAAGAAAAAAATATAAGGCAGAGCGAGTCAGCACCGCAGGTGCAGTGTTGCCAACTCCGCGACTTTTCAGACCCCTCCAGCGACTATTTTTCAAAAAAGCGACTAGCGACAAATCTGGCGACTTTTTACGGTGTCACTGGCGGCTTTTGGAGACTCTTACGTGAAAGCATGTATCGTTCCTACTCTGCCGTGGGGCGCCTCCCCCATCCCAACCCCGTTCTCCCGCAGGAGTCCCTCTCAGCGCTGCAGTCAGAGCCTCAGCGTCCAGACTGCAAATGAAGCGCGCATGCACCGGGATTGACGGCGCAAATTAATCACAATAATTAAAATAGTCTGTGCTTTGTAAAGCGAAAATAGTCGTAACATGCAACTTTTGTCAAAAGAAATGAACATGGCACGGAAGCAACACTGTTACGATGCAGCACCTGAAAAGAAAACAAGTTGGAGCCTTCGATGGCAGGGAAGAGAGCTGATCAGCAGGGTGAGCGGCCATGTTTGTTTCATTTTAAAGTGGGGAAACGTAACGTTAGTTTCTCAGGTAGCTCATCTGATGCTTTCCTTACCGTGTTAGTAGGTTACAGACAGTGATAAGGTTGGCTACTTATTTTACTTTTAATTTCATTTGAATTAGCTTAAGCAGCGTTTATATTTTCTTTATAAATAAATTAACTTGCAAATTATGAGGGCAAGGCTTTTAAAGTTTAAATCTTCTGGCAAAGATAAAGTAAATGGAAGTAAAGCAGAATAAAATCCAGCAAGATCAGTAATATGTCAATTAATTATCTGCCACATTCCCCTGTAAATATCTGTCTTTGGAGGATGTGTTTTTTAGCACCCCTAGTTCTCTCATTTTTATTCCAAATACAATTTATAATTTGAATCACAGGGCTATTTTTATCTCTATGGTTCAGTATTTTCTCAAGTAGCAACTTTAACTGCTATACTTTCCTGTCTTAAAAGGCAGAACTCTTCTAGTCTAAAAAAACTCATTTGGTGAAATGGGGGGGCCTATTGTTTGAACCCCTTAGGGGCTTTTAAAAACAAAAATGTCTTTTTTTGCGCTTTATGAAACAAAGTAGCCTATATTTTGTGGATGTACAGCTACATTTCTCATGTAAGTTTGCGTAGTTTTAACACAAACATTTATTTTTCATATTGCACCAGTACAGTTAATGAGCAACCTGTACTTGTGTGCTTGCTTGTTCTGTCTAAAATGTTTATTTTGGAATAAAGAGGTTAATATAAAAAATATTTTTTGTCCGATTCATCGATTAATCGATAAAATTATCAGCCGATTCATCGAGTTTTAAAATAATCGTTAGTTGCAGCCCTAGTTCCAGAAGTTCTGAAGGTTCTGATGGTACCGGATGTTCTGAGCAGGCCGTGGTTCTGGTTCTGTGTCCCTGCAGACCTGCAGATGGTGAACATCGGCGTGCGGGTTCTGTCCAGGCCGATGGCGTCCAGCCTGCCCGCCATGTACCAGCAGCTGGGGAAGGACTACGATGAACGAGTCCTGCCTTCCATTGTCAACGAGGTCCTGAAGTCGGTGGTGGCCAAGTTCAACGCGTCGCAGCTCATCACGCAGAGAGCCCAGGTGCCGCCGGTTCTGGTTCTGCCCATCCATGTAGCTCGGCGCGGTTCTAACGGCGGTGTGTTCTCCAGGTTTCCCTGCTGGTGCGTCGGGAGCTGGTGGAGCGAGCCAAGGACTTCCGGATCATTCTGGATGACGTGTCCATCACAGAGCTGAGCTTCAGCAGCCAGTACACGGCAGCCGTGGAGGCCAAGCAAGTCGGTGAGTCCAAACGCCATCAGGCTGTTGCGTCACGTAGCCGCAGAGCACGCCCTCATCCTGCCATGTGGTTATCAGGAGCCGCCGTCACAGCTGACGTCCCGCCATCAACACAGAACACAGAAAAAAAGTTTCTAGATTTGGTTCTGGGCGACAAGGCTTTAAACCTTTAGTTTGAAACTAATCATCCTGATCCAGATGTTCAGTTATAGATTGGAACCGCTGCCAGTTCCTAATGGGATTAATTTCCACTGTTATGCTGATGATACCCAGCTATATCTGTCTATAATCCAGATGAAGCTAACCCATTACATAGATTACAGGCATGTCTGAAGACATAAAAACCTGGATGACTCTTAACTTTCTGCTTCTGAATGCAGACAAAACAGAAGTTATAGTCTTTGGACCAGAGTCTCTGAAAAAGAAGCTGATTAGCCAGTCACTTCATTTGGATGGGATTAAACTGATTTCAGACAATAAAGTAAAAAATCTTGGTGTTGTTTTTGATCAGGACCTGTCATTTAAATCCCATATCAAAGAGGTTTCTAGAATTTCCTTCTTTCATCTGAGGAATATTGCAAAAATTAGAAATCTCCTGTCCAGGCGTGATGGTGAGAAACTAGTCCATGCATTTGTTACTTCAAGGCTGGACTATTGTAATTCTTAACCAGTGTTGTGCCTGAACGCGTTCATTGAACGAAAGTTCATGAACTCGTTCATATTTTGGGCGAACGTGAACTGACCGTACTGCATTATTGCCTGATGAACGTTATTGTGAACTCGTTCATTCTGGTGTCTGTGAACGGCACGCTCTCTCAGTTTGCCAGATTTCTATAGAGTCCTCCAGGCGAAACCCCGGCTAAATCACACCGTAAACAGGCCTTAATATGTAGCGGGAAAAACACCCAATCTGGCAACACCAGCTACCAGCGTCGTAGCCTACAGCCGCGTGCGTCATCAAAACAAAATGCAGCGTGAAAGCCACAGCAGCATGGAGGCGACTTAAAACAGTTTTATGACCAGGTGGTCGGTGAGGATGATGGCAACAAGTTTGCCCGCCGGCTTTCAGTAAAAAAATCCGCACTTCAGTAACCTTAAATTCCTACCTCAGCCTGGTCCCTCAGTTTGTGTTAGTAAAATCTTCTTGAGCGGAGGTCTTCAACAGGGGATCCGCGACCCCTAGGGGTCTACGGAGGTACTGCATGAGGGTCTGCATGGTTAGTTGATATTTTTATATTCCCCCCCTGCAATTTTCCCCCCACTAATTGAAATGTCTTTAAATACTCATTAACATGAAATCAACACACTGTAGTAAACAGATAAATGGAGGCAGAAGATGTCTTTCAGTCATCAATGCTCACATTCAGCGACACACAGGAGCTCTTTCAAGCTGGGCACCGTTTCCTTCACAACAACCAGGAATCAGAATCAGAAAAACTTTAATAATCCCAGGGAGAAATTAATTTCTTTACATTACTCCATCTGTAATAGAGTGACTATAGGACACAATTTCATACAATATATATAGTTAGGGGGTCCCCGCTCCATCTCGCCATCAGTTTGGGGGTCCTTGGTCTGGAAAACATAGAAGACCCCTGTTCTTGAGGGTTTTACTATCCATGTAACTTGTTTGTTAAACCTGCCTGGTATAATTTTCCAGGATTCCTTTTTAGTATGTATTGAAATGGAATTTCAAATGGAAAAAAATTATTAAAATAAAAAAAAACATTTGCACCTTAAAGACTACTTTCCTATTTTTCTTTTAATAATTCCTCATAAAAAAGACCATTCAAGCAGCACATTTTTCCTGATGTTTCTGAGAATATACTGTAGGGGTGAAAGCTGCAGCTGCTACTAGTGTGAAGTGAATGGACAGCAACAAAGCGTTAAAGCAACAATGGGGAAATGCTGTCCCCTCAATGCTAATGGAAACCCTGGTTGGATAAGGATTCAAAACTGGATATGAAGATGAAATCTGACACACAGTTTCAGAGTTACAACTGATAAAATAATTGCTGTCTGTGGTTCTACAGGAGGCTATGGTGTAATTGAGCAATATATGAAAAAAATAAAAGAACTATGAAGTAGTTCATTTTTTGGAACTGTGAAATTATGAACTATGAACTGAACTAGTTAATTTTAAAATGTGTGAACTGAACTTTGAACTAGTTCACGTAGAAAGAGAACTTTCCCAACACTGTTCTTTACTATCAGGAAGTCCACAAACTGTAGTTAAAAGCCTTCAGCTGATCCAAAATGCTGCAGCCAGAGTTCTGATGAAAATTAAAAAGAGATTTTATAAACTGCACCCAGAGAACAGGATTTCATTCTAAGGTTACTGGACTTTGGATCTATTTTCTCTTTAACATGATTCTATCAGTCTGGGTTCAAATTAAAAATGAAATGGAAAAAAAAATAGCTGTCCTATGTGGACGTCCTGTATATATCCCATCATGCACCTTCTTCTTCTCCTCACTTGACTAGTTGAGCTGATAATGAGCTATTTTCTCCACTGTTAGATCAATAAAGTCAATCAATGAAGGAGCCAAGCGTTAATGTGGTGTGTGTTCCCTTCCAGCCCAGCAGGAGGCGCAGCGAGCTCAGTTCTGGGTGGAGAAAGCCAAGCAGGACCAAAGACAGAAGATCATCCAGGCGGAGGGAGAGGCTGAAGCTGCTAAGATGGTAAAATACTCACTGCTTTGAACTCTGACCTCAGCTGACCTTTGAACTCTGACCTCAGCTGACCTTTCCAGCTAGCCTGGGTGCCAGTCAGAACTTAGTCCCGCCCACAAGGTTTGAGGTCGGGAAGTTCGGTCTGGCTCTGCTCCATAGTAGCGCGAGTATGATCGCCCACTGTCAGGCGATCCAATCAAATTGTCAGGGCGGGCTTTATACGATGATGGACAGATGATCAACAGTAACGTAATCAACCACGTGACCAAAGCGCGCTTGGGTGACAACAACAATGGCTGCCGCTGGAGAGTTGAGGTGTCTAGATTCTGCTATTAGGTCTGTTCTAGAAGATATCGACAGCAAATTAATTTTAAAAGAGGAACAGAGAAACGCGATCAAGGCTCATCTTCTTATTCTAGGCGTGCAACTGCACGCTTTGATTTTTGTTGACAACAACTATGCCTCGCTTAACATACGTCACGCACTCCGTTGCTCTGATTGGTTGTAGGTCTGTCCAATTGAGTGCAGAGGCATTTTTTTTCCTGGTTTGTTGGAAACACGCCCCATAATCACAGCTCTATGGAGCAGCATCAGACTCATTCTGACTAGAATTGAGTAGGACTACGTCAGGCTAGTTTCCAGCCTCCATGTTAGAATATTTAAAGGAAAAGTTCAACAGCAGGAATAACCAATAGATTATTATTTATACCTAAAACTAATACCTTTCACAGTAAATTAATGAATTTAGCGTTAATTAGTAAAAAAATAAAACTTATTTGTCGTGGCGATCGCCATGGGAGCGGCCATATTTGTCCAAATATAGTAGCCCCTCCCTCCTGCCATCTTCCAGCAGTGACGTCACGGTGCGGTAAGCCTAGCGCCATTCTCCCCGCTTTCCAAGCTAAATCAATGGGAACTACTAGACACATCTGCAATCAACAACAATTATTGAAGATTTCCAGAGGACTTCACCATTGAAATTCACCAGAGCTATAGTGAAACTGACAATGCCCACGTGCATGGCAGCTGGATGCTGGAATACATCGGGGAAAAGTGGAAAGAAAAGAGTTATTCCACCTTTCTGATTCCTGATCCTCCACGGACGGGTTGGTCGTTGGATCGCCAACTTGAAGAGGGAGGATTTGCCATCGAACTTCTGGCCAGAGAAAAAACCCGTAATATGTAGCCAACATTTGGAAGAAGAATGTTTTCCAGATGACTTGGATAATAGCGCGTTGTGACAAACACCAGATACAGCACTGGGACTTGATCAACAGCCGATACCGCACCGTGACAATGTCACTAACCAGTAGGTGGCAGTAGTGTTCTTTGACAAACATGGATGCCTCCAGTAAAGCACATTCACATGAAAATTACTCTGAATTAAAAACACTGATCATTTATTGAACAGGATGGAATCATTTCAGATTTAAAGAACTTTAGAAGTTTGGATTCTGAATATGAGCGACTTTTCCTTTAACTAAACCTGCAGCTGGTTTGTGTAAAATGAGTCCAAATAAGCAGAGAGGTCTGCTGATGAAGACTGGCTTTCCTGTTCCTTCGTTCTGTATCTGGTTCTCTGACAGAGTATAAGGGCCCTATTGGCCCTAATGCTCTGTGGTAGTTTGCCTCCAAGGTTCCTGCCCTCCAACAACCTTCCCTGTTGTTAGGTGGAAAGAATATCCCTCGCCCCCCCACCCCCCTGGGTCTCGGCCCCTCGGGTCTTTTCTCTAATCAAACTGTTCTTTTCCAGTTGGGCCAGGCTGTGACCAAGAACCCAGGTTACCTGAAGCTGAGGAAAATCAGAGCGGCTCAGAACATCGCAAAGACGGTGAGTAGCTTCCTTCCTACACTGATGATGATGATGATGATTATGATGATGATGATCTGACGCTCCGCTTCTAGGTCTCTACGTCTCAGAACAAAGTCTACCTTAATGCTGACAGTTTGGTTCTGAACCTGCAGGACCAGACGTCCTTCAACAGGTGGGTTCCTCTGCCTCTCTGTCCTTATGGTCCATCTGACAAGAAACAATCCACAGAGATCTGTAGACGGATCCATACCCAGCTGTCTGTGGACGGATCAACCCGTAGATCAGTCTATAGATCAGTCTGTAGATCTCCACCTCCAGTCTCCCCTCACTGAGGAACAGGAGCCCAGGATAGAGCTGGAAGCAGGAACTCTGTTCTAACCTGAAGGGGACAGACCTCCTCTTCCTGGTCCAGAACCTCAGTTCAGTTTATTTTGATATTCAGTTCACAGTGTGGGTTTTCCCAGTGACTTGGTACCTCAGCTGGTCTTCTTCCGGTCTCCTGGTCCAACGGATCAGAGTCTCCTGCACCTAGAAATCCTGTCCATGGAGGTTCTGAACGGGTCCAGAGGGAATGTAGACCAAACTCCTGCAGACTGTCCTGTCTGTATTAAAGATGGTGGAATATCTGAGACTGATCAGTCATTCTCGTCTCCTCTGATGGCGGCAGTTTATGAGCTGGATCAGAAACACGTTAACCTGCAAACATCCTGAGACCAGGAAGGACGGCCCATGCTCATTAGATCCTGGTCCTGAAGGTTCCTGCTCTGCATGTTCTGGATGTTTCTGAGCTTCAGCAAACCTGATGATCTGCTATCAGTTGATAACAGGTGTGGAAGCTGGGAAACATCTAGAACCCGCAGGGCAGGAACCTTCAGGACCAGGATGGAAATCACTGAATCAGAGGCTCATTTGAAACCAAGCAGCCATTGAAACGAGCTGATTGGCTGATCTGTTGTTTTCCAGCTTTCTGTCTGCGCAGAAGAAGTGAGGATGAGGCGTAACCAGTGGCGACGCAACAGGAAGAGAAGGACGGACTTTCTCTGCCTCCATCATGTTTAGAAGTGGCTTTTATATCTTTCAGTCTGTACACCTGTCTATGTGTAAAGCAATAAAGTGGTGTTATAAACGACCTCGGCCTGTTATTTAACGGATCGCTTCAAGCCCCGCCCACCTGAGGCGGGTCCCGTCATCTGCTCCATCGATTGTGACCTCACCCATCGCCTCCCATTCAGTTCATTGCTAACGCTAGCTTCAACACGGCACCCCTGCAGGCCTTCAGACCGCACGCCATGCAGGCGGCGTCTGCTGCTTCATCTGATCCTCACTAAGGTCCAGTAAAGTGAGTCCAGATGCTTCTGCTGCTCCTGTGTTCGATGCCAGAGAGCAGCTTTGCTATATTAGCTGTGATCAGCGGGTAGAAAGTAGTTAGAATCTATGTTGAAGTGAGAAAGTCCTCCTGAAAACATGGTCTGTGCAGTCAGTTCATCCAGATTACCATCCTGCCTTCAAAGATTATTTCTCTGTGGGAGCCGCTCAGACCCCCACATACCGGCGCTGCGCTGTCACTGGGAATCCCCAGCAGCAGCTGCCTCAGGCCCGCTCACACTACAGCGAGCGGTCTGACCTAAAACAGCAAAGGTAGCAAAATAGATCCAAGCTAATTTATTCCCACTGATCACAGCTCATCTAGCTGCTGTTGTTCCAGGCAGAGAACAGATAGCGTAGCTCCGCCCACCGCGCATCACACCCATATTTCCACCATGCAGCTGGAGCAGCACAGATGCTTCAGCACATTAGAATGAAAGTTGGAGAAGCTTCATCTCTGAAGCAGCAAGCATGTTTCTGCTGCCTGGGTTCTGAACGTAGCATTAGAACCAGTAAGGACCATCATGGTGCGTTCGCACCAGAGGCCTGTGGTGGATTCCTGTCCAAACTGGGCGGGGAAGCATCCAGTGGTGAACTCCACACAGTGAGAGCATTCACTGCCCCTCCCACACCTGCTGCTACTAGATAGAGCTGAGGAGTCAAACAGCAGCGCCGCATGGAGAGAAGGGAGCGCTGATCTCTGCGTTGAACCTTTCTATGAAATCGGAACACGGCAGCCAATCAGGGACTGGATGGAGGAGAAAATAATGTTAAAGGTAGAAATAAGGAATGCTCTGCAGAGGGCTTTAGAAAAGCCTAGAAGGACCGTTGATCATCCTCCCTCACCTGCAGCACAGAGCCCGGTCTGTCACTGCCCAGCATCCAGCTTCCTGAGGGGGAGGGAGTGGATCTGTTTTTCCAGAAGCTGATTGTCTCCCCAAGGAGATTCTGACGTCACAGAGAACAAATGAACTAAATATTAAACAATCATTCCAGCCACTAAATAAGGTCAACATGGCCGCCATTAGATTCAGGAATGATAAGTTTATGTCAGGAAGGTGAGGCAGCCCCAGGTAAGATGGCCGACCTGTGAAACACTAAGGAAAAATATCTCTACATAGAAAATCCTTTTAAGAGTTCAATCTGTTAATTAGGCTGCTTCCCTCAGCTTCTCCTTCCTCACCGTTCACAATAATTCATGTTTGTCATTAACATCAGAAGATGGATCCTTCCTCATGGAATCACAGCCTCGATGCAATATGAATAAAATATTCAAAGATTCAATAATTGGTCAATTTAAAACACCGACAGACTTCCTCCATCGCCTCAGACTGGAACCTAAAGTCCATCTGTTGACCAAATGAAAGAAATACCATAGAAACAGTTAATCTAGAATGGGAGTGAAAAGCATTCTACCTTATTATATCTACATTAAAACTAGTAGGGAGTTAATAGAGCGATTTATCCAGCAGCTCTGTGGCTTTAAATCAACTTAATTTAATACTGAATTATTTCTTTAAAACAGCTGTTCTGTATTAAAGAGCTGGAGCTGCTGCCCCCTGCTGGCCGGTCCTGGATGAGCAGCAGACCGTGAGGAAAAGAAATCAGACCACAAACAGACTGAAGGAGGAATTTTCTTTATGTTCTTCAAAAACATCGTTTCTACAAACAACTGATGATTTTAGCATCAGACTCAGGAACTGAGAGATTCTGTGAAACGTTCGGATCGATGGCTCACGCCGGGATGCGGCTGCGCAGGTACTCCAACACCGCGTCGGTTCCTTTGGCCAAGATGGCCGCTCTGGGCGTGCGGAACGGATTCCCCTCCAGACTCAGGCAGCTGAGGGTCAGTCCAGCAGAGGGATGATGTCATAGTGAACAATGATGGTGAAACATTAAACCAGGACATGCGGAGGGAAGCTGGGCTCACCGGAGGCTGGTGCACAGGCCCAGCTCAGGAGGGACGCTCAGCAGGTCGTTGTTAGATAGATCTAGAGTGGACAGACTGAGCAGCTTCAGACGGCCGGGATCCAGACCACACACCTGGTTGTTCCCCAGCAAGACCGTCTCCAAGGTCATGATGTCATAGAGGACTTCAGGGAAGGAGCTGAACCTGCCATGACAACAGAATGAGGCACAGAAACACATAGAAATGCAGTATGTAGAGAGCTTTGTGGGCCTCCCTCCTGCAGGGGGCAGTGTGTTCAGCCCAGCGGCTGAAGGCTGGTCTGCTCTGCAGGGACCATCGTCATGTTGATCCAGATGTTCTCCAGATGTTTCAGGGCAGCAGTGAAAGCACGTTTTCCTCCGTCTGTTGCTGAGCTGAAATATTTCTATGGTGTCTTTTCTTGGTCCGATCAGAGTGAGTTTATAGAAATCTTTTACCAGATTCTAAGAATGATTGAAGTAAAGAAGACAGAGAGCCGCTGCCTCTTTACTCTAAACAAGGCTGAAGTCTAGATAAGATGCTCTATGAGGGAAAGACCTTCATGAACTGAAGCTGTTTTGCTTCAATGTTCGAGTCTCAGAAAGTTCTTGATGCGGGGGGGGGGGGGGGGGGGGGGGGGGTAGTTCCATAGGGGTTGGGTTTAGCTCCATGGGGGGGGGATTGTGTACGTTATATGTACTGAACTTGCTCCAGTCAGAGCTTTTCTCTCCGTCTGTAAAATAAATGAGATCCTTTTTCTCCGTCAGTCTTCTTCTCCCACAGCTCAGCCTCGGTAAGCAGGACCTTGGATCAGGTCCTGGTGGATCTGCTGGTACCTTCTGGATCACGGCTGCAGATCCTGCTTCTGCTTCAACCTTTTCTCTGGTTTCCTGTTTTCTAAAAGCATCGAGCCATGATACTCCCACCCCCATGTCCTGCTCTCCATTCTGGGCCTCCTGAACAATGAAAGTTTAATTCTGGATTTACTTGGATGTTCGCCCAGCTTCACGGTGAGCTCTGGAGTTTGGAGGAAAGTCATGAACTGAAGGAGGATAGAAAAACTAAAGCTAGAGTCTGCAGAGGTGTGAATACTTTCCTCGGGTTGTATTTCTGCTTGTCTGTGTTTCCTGTGGAGTCAGTCATGCAGGTGTTCTGCAGACCTCAGGAATACCTGTTGTAGTTCAGGATGACGGAGCGAAGCTTTGGCAGCGTCTTCATTTCACACGGCAGGTCAGTCAGCTGGTTGTTCCTGAAACACATAAGATCAAAGTAAACAGGAATCCTGAACCACATCCAGACCAGGAGCAACCTTTCCTCTCTACTGTCGCTGTATGCTTGATGCCAGGGAATCACTATGGGGGCACTATAGTGACCCTATAGAGTCACTATAGTGCCCCAGAGTCAGATTAGTGAGCAGGCGTCCCTGAATGTACGGTAGTACCTGAGATCCAGGTGTGCGAGCAGCTGGAAGGAGCAGATGTGGGGGGAGCAGCAGGTCAGTCTGTTGAAGGCCAGGCTGAGGTCGGTCAGTGAGGACTGGAACTGCAGCAGTCTGAACAGAGAACACGGTGCGGTCAGCGGCCGCGTTCCATCGGGGTTCTGGTGAACCTGGAGCGCCGATCGTACCCGGAAGGGAAGGAGGTCAGCTGGTTCCTGCTGAGGTCAGCGGTGATTATAGCTTGATGCGCTGCGGCGTCAAACACCTGCTCTGGAACCTCGGCCGCCTGCTTGTTGCTGAACACAGAGATAAACACCACTGCACCAATGCATGATGGGAAAGACCAGCTTAGTAGAACCTGGTTCTGTTAGGCTGGGATTAAATGAGGAACTTTGCATTAAAGCCTCTGATGCATCTGAGCAGATTTTCCTGTTTCCTTTGTAGATTGATTCCTGCTTATTTCTGCATAAAGCAGACTAGGAATTTATTTTTCTCCAATGATCAAACTAACATTCCTGGGAAAAGTATTCAACCACTAACATTCCCTTATTTTGTTGCATTCTAACCAGTATTTCAGACGCTGTTATTTTGCACTAAGTATTCCATGTTGTTGGAGGGAGATAAGAAACAATATATACAAAAAAAAGAAACAGGTTTAAACTGGAGGGAACCAGACTTTGCGCCCCCCCCCCCCCCCCCCCCCCCCAGTCTTTATCCTCTGATGTATTAAAGCAACATGGCGGACCGACCAGCTCAGCCCATTTAGCCAGATGCTAACCAAACCTTGTTCTTCCTGATGGTTGGAGCCTTTTGTCGTGGCTGGGCTCTGTGATTGGTCTGTTGAATCATAATGGGAGGAATTATGAACTGAATTATAAAGGTCTAGAAGCTGAACCCCCCCTTTTCCTCTGATGTTTTTTTCTCTCATGACAAAGAAGGCTTCCTTCACCCCTCAGTCAGACCATCTGACCTCTCTGTCCAACACCTGAACTCAAAGGTGCCTCCTTTGCTCCTGAGGTGCAGCTGAGTTACCTGGAGCTGCTGGTTCAGCTCCTGCTCTGACCCTCCTGTGTGACATAAAGACCACTGGGCCCAAACGACCAGAGGGACTGATGGGAATCCAGGGAGACTAGCGTTAAAAGCTGCTGCTGATGGCGGCGGTAAAACCATCTGACTTTAGGCTGTAGTTTAGTTCTTAGTAAAAAGGCTGAGAATGAACTGGTGCTACTGGTTCAAACTTTAAACCATCCATTAGGTCTGGGGTTTGGTCTTTAGGATGCACTAGTCTCTGTTTTAAGGGTCTGTCTGGTTTGAAATGTGGAATTCTGTGTTTGGAGAAAATCTTCCAGAGTTTCTCAGAGTTTCTCAGAGTTTCTCAGTAACCAGTGATTTATTGATCTATCCCAGCATCAGCATCGCTGAAGCTTTCAAACTAAAGTCTTTTCTGAGGAACCTGCAGACTGACCTGAACTCCAACGTCTTCAGGGTTTGGACTTTCTGCAGGTTGACCAGAGCCTCAGAAGGTAAAGTCAGAGCAGTTGGTCCCTCAGCGGCTCCCTCAGGCTCCTCTGGGGGTCGAACGGATAGAAGCAGCCAAACGTTAGAGGCGACTCCACGCAGAGAAAGAACAGCAGGTCTGGATCTGCTGGACTTTCCTTCAGTCTGCCTCAAAGGCCGGATTTAAACCAGGCGTCTGAAAACCCAACCGCAGTCCATCAGGTCTACCCTCTGACCAAGACCCAAACTAATTCACCCTGTTTAGGTACCAACAAACACGGCGCCCTGCTGAAGCATTCACCTCCTTAGCTTTCAATACGCTGCAGCTGGATTCAGACGTTGATTCTTCTTCATTTGATCAATCAACACAATAAATATGAAAAGAAAATCTATAAGCAATAAAAACAAAACGGGCAAATTTCCCCTCTCTGTTCCCTCACTTAGTCTCACAGACATCTGGACAGACATGGCAACCAATGACATGATGTGTTGTAGGCATGCACGATATAATCGGCCCCCTATCGGTATCGGCCTTAAAACTGAATATCGGACATCGGCCACCCCACCGATATTTAACCCGATATTTGATCAGCTTCTGAGTTTCTAAAGTCTAAAAATATATATACTACTTCTTCTTCTTCCTCAAAAACTTCTTTTTTACAGACTTAAGAACTTCTAAAGACGAGGGGAAAAATATTGATCCATTAAAATATCCCAATATCTTCCTATGCTGATATATTGCCATTTAAAAACACCATATCAATCTCTTTTACTAATGAAATATTGCTATATGTCATCGTTATGCTACGAAATCCCCCGAAAATTCACCAAATGTTGCCATATTTTTATATGTTGATATATTGACGCGGTATCGATCTATTTTACTAACAAAATCTCACAAGAATTTGCAAAATATCACGAGAGTTTGTAACAGAACGATGAAATTTCACCAGATTTTGAAAGTAAAATAGATCGATACCGCGTTTTTAAAAATCTATTTGATATCAGCATATGAAAATATATTTGAGTACATTATTTTTCAAAGTGTCAGAAATGGATAACAAAACTGCTATTTTCAATGACTACTTATTTTTGTCCAGCTTTAACATCGGTATCGATATCGGTTATCGGCTACATGAGTTTTAAAATATCGGCATATCGGATATTGGCCAAAATCCCAATATCGTGCATCCCTACTGTGTTGTGGATGATGTCATCCAGAAGTAAACAAACATGGCTGCCCCGGTGGACGGACCGGCAGACTCTCCGCTTTGGCTTGAAAACCCTTCGCTTCATTTTGAAAAGAGAGGGTGATGAAGATGCTCCTTCCTCACTGGCTGTGCAACCAATCAGCTGTTGCTGTGATTCAATTACGCTCTTAAAATGAATGAAACTATTAAATTACGTTCTTAAAAAGAATGGACTGCATGCAACGCTATGCTACAGGAATATGTGTTGAGCTGTTGCTAAAGCTTAGACCAGCTTTATTCACTAAGGATTTAAACACTGATATAACATTAGTGTTCATGTGTTCCTCAGATGCTCGTTACATTTCCATTACCAAGTCTAACCAAGAGTCATTTAGTGGAATCCTGATGTCTATTCGCTGCTAGCTATTTCACAGAGGGTAAAGAATCATTTAACTAAAGGTTATTGGTTCTTGATTAAGCAAATCATTGAATAAAACATCAATAATGTTTTATTCACCTAATGGATTTGCATTGTGAATTGGTCTGAAAACATTCCAGTTTCTTTAAAATTGGTGAAAAGCTAATTTGATCAGATCCCAAATTATTCCAGATAAACTTTGGTTTCAAACTCAGAATCCATCTTAAACTGTAATATGTTTTTCAACCGTTTCCCCCTTCCTCTTTGTACATATAAGTTAGTTTAGTTTGGTTTAGTTTCACTAGTCTTAGTTGAGAGTGTCAAACTGAAATATGTTTGACGTGGAGCTGAATGATTTTTGTTAATAAAATCTTATATTTTGAACAGAATTTGTGGAGAATTTATTCCATTAATGTGCAGAAATAACTGTTTGACCATGATTAGTGCTCGAATCACTCTTTCATCTATTGTTCTAACACACAGTTAGTAGGACTGTGTGTCATAAACAGTATATAACAGACGAAATAATATCTGATTGAATAAGATATTTACCACCCCTACTGGGGAGGGCAATAAACATCTTAAAGTATCAGAAACATAAAATTCCAACTGGCTGGGAATAGAATTTAACTATAGAATCACAACACAGGAAGCGACAGACGTTGATGTTCATCACGCTGCTAAGCAGAATGTAAATCGTGCGGCGCGGCAGGAAGCTAGGATTTTAGTAATGATTACGGAGGCGGTCTGTAAGATGAGGCAGTCTGTAAGATGAGACGGTCTGTAAGAAGACCACGCCTTCTTTCCCCGCCCGCAGAGCTACCATCAACCCTTCACTTCCTGTCGGTGTTTCCTAACCTTATGTCTGCGATTCACTATCAGAACTTTAGATTTTAACACAGATCAAAACACAAGGAAAACTTCACCTTTAATCCGTCCTCTTAGATACTTCAGGAGATCACTGGTTCCTCTCTGTGGTTAGAAGAAAAGATTTCTGTTAATTTCTTGATTTATTTATTAATTTCTCCACCAGCAGCATAAAGATTCTCTGATGAAACGGCTGAAAGACTGACAGCACTGATAGCACATGGATTAAACTGCTGCTGCTTCATTTAATCTAAGAAAATCCTACGATGGTCGCAGAAATAACCTCAATCTGACAATTAGGGTTTGCTATGATAATATGAAATCCATCAGAGTGAGAACGTCCACTGACTGGACGTCTGAAGGACTGCTACCCCTGATGAGTCCAGATGTTCACCAATGTGCACCAGAGGAGCCTGGGTCCCAGCCAAACCCAGGCGGCCGAGGTTTGAGGACGTGTTCCCGTTGTTCAGGTTTAGCGAGGAAACGACTCTACGTCCGTCTGATGGGGGTTCAGACACGTCAGAAGATACAAATCCAGAGAACCGTCAATGACCCAGAGAGCCGTCAATGACCCAGAGAACCGTCAAGAGCCGTCAATGACCCAGAGAGCCGTCAATGACTCAGAGAGCCGTCAATGACTCAGAGAGCCGTCAATGACCCAGAGAGCCGTCAATGACCCAGAGAGCCGTCAATGACCCAGAGAGCCGTCAATGACTCAGAGAGCCGTCAATGACCCAGAGAGCCGTCAATGACTCAGAGAGCCGTCAATGACCCAGAGAACCGTCAATGACCCAGAGAGCCGTCAATGACCCAGAGAACCGTCAATGACCCAGAGAGCCGTCAATGACTCAGAGAGCCGTCAATGACCCAGAGAGCCGTCAATGACTCAGAGAGCCGTCAATGACCCAGAGAACCGTCAATGACCCAGAGAGCCGTCAATGACCCAGAGAACCGTCAATGACCCAGAGAGCCGTCAATGACTCAGAGAGCCGTCAATGACTCAGAGAGCAGTCAATGACTCAGAGAGCCGTCAATGACCCAGAGAGCCGTCAATGACCCAGAGAGCCGTCAATGACCCAGAGAGCCGTCAATGACCCAGAGAGCCGTCAATGACTCAGAGAGCCGTCAATGACCCAGAGAGCCGTCAATGACCCAGAGAACCGTCAATGACCCAGAGAACCGTCAATGACTCAGAGAACCGTCAATGACCCAGAGAGCCGTCAATGACTCAGAGAGCCGTCAATGACCCAGAGAGCCGTCAATGACCCAGAGAGCCGTCAATGACCCAGAGAACCGTCAATGACTCAGAGAACCGTCAATGACCCAGAGAGCCGTCAATGACCCAGAGAGCCGTCAATGACCCAGAGAGCCGTCAATGACTCAGAGAGCCGTCAATGACCCAGAGAGCCGTCAATGACCCAGAGAGCCGTCAATGACCCAGAGAGCGAATGACCCAGAGAACCGTCAATGACTCAGAGAGCCGTCAATGACCCAGAGAACCGTCAATGACTCAGAGAGCCGTCAATGACTCAGAGAGCCGTCAATGACTCAGAGAGCCGTCAATGACTCAGAGAGCCGTCAATGACCCAGAGAGCCGTCAATGACCCAGAGAACCGTCAATGACTCAGAGAGCCGTCAATGACTCAGAGAGCCGTCAATGACTCAGAGAACCGTCAATGACCCAGAGAGCCGTCAATGACCCAGAGAGCCGTCAATGACCCAGAGAACCGTCAATGACCCAGAGAGCCGTCAATGACCCAGAGAACCGTCAATGACTCAGAGAGCCGTCAATGACTCAGAGAGCCGTCAATGACTCAGAGAACCGTCAATGACTCAGAGAACCGTCAATGACCCAGAGAACCGTCAATGACCCAGAGAACCGTCAATGACTCAGAGAACCGTCAATGACTCAGAGAACCGTCAATGACTCAGAGAACCGTCAATGACTCAGAGAGCCGTCAATGACCCAGAGAACCGTCAATGACCCAGAGAACCGTCAATGACCCAGAGAGCCGTCAACATTTAGAGAAGGGTGGGATTTATATTTTGTTCCCTCAAAGAAAGAGTCGCTTGGTCTGCCAGCTGCCGTACCTACAGCGCCCCCACCAGGGGGAGAGAATTAGCTGCTGTCGCACCAAGGTACGCATCCATGGTAGAATCGGTATTGCCTCACCTGGAGCACAGAGTTCACCACGCCTCACTTCCAACCCTCTAAACGTGAAGCTTGTGATGTGTTATCTTTAGAAAAGATGAACGTTGGTATTTTATTCTCCAACTTCACATTTTATAGCAGATTAAAAACATAAAACAGGAGCGTTAGCTTCACATCAGGACGCTGACAGCGGTTCCATAAATAATTAATTGTTTCATGAGTCTAAATGTTCTGAATGTCAAACATGTTCTTATCATAAAAATAAACATGTACGTATTATGGGCGACGCCCAGCAGGGATATTACTTTATCCTCTGTCATATTTAGTGCTGAAATCTAGATTAGTGTTTTATATTAACTTGGGATGGAATCAAATACTGGTTCCAGTTCAGAACCGGTTCCATGTGTTCCGATTCCATGGCACCGTTTGGCAGCTCGCTTAACACTTCTCTTAACGATTCTAGGCAGCGCAAGAGCCTAGCGCTGGGCAGCGCGACTTACGTCACGTTTTTAACGTAAACGGCATTCAGTAAGCTAGTACGACGTGACCAGGCGTAAGTCTAGAAAAGCAAAACAAAAGCGTTCAAAGCGATCGAAAGTTTAGCTTCATTTTAAGGAAGAGAAAGATGGCAACAAGGCGCTTTGCAGTCATTGCAAAGTGCCAATAACATCCGCAGGAGGAAATACATCCAACATGTAGAAACACTTTCGAACACAACATGGCGTACCTTTTAACAAATGCTGCATTTTTAATGCTTCCAGACAGAAACTAAAGTTACGACCAGCATGGAAGGAAACTCTGGTGGATAGTATCTAGTTTTATATCACTGGCTGAGCTTAATGTGGTTCCTAGTAAATCAGATGCCATTTCTGGAAATAAACCCGTTTCCTTCCTCTCTCTGGGATTATTAAGTTTCTCGTTAATCCAGCGCTTCATTGCCAGCATGTTTAATTAGAATCATTGCCTTCTGTTTTCGCCGAGGCAGGCAGAAATAGAACGTTCCAGGCGAAGGTAGACGAATTTCACCGTAAACCTACCAAGTTCATTGTTAACAGAATCGATAAGGAATCGAATAATTTCACAGAATCGATAAGGAATCATGAAAATCTCATCAATTCCCAACCCTAATATTAACTCATAATAACCGTATGTCGCAGCACCATGGATCTAAGGCAGAGGGAAGATGAGCTCCTGCTCCCGGTGAGGGGATAGACATTCTGGCGGGGTAACTACCTTGGCACGACACTGGTCTATGAGCCAGACACGGAAAGCTGCTGACGTCGTTACATGCGTGTAACTTCCTGCTCCACATCAGAGCAGAGATGATGGGGAGAATTGTAGAAAAGACTGATGTAGAAATTAGACCACAGATTGGTCCTGTTCCAGATGATGATGTAAGCTAGCTGTTGTTAGCATTGGGATGCTAACTTCATGGTAATAATGTAGCTCTGAATCATTGATGTTGTTTTTATGAAGGTCCGGGACGCGGCGGTTAGCGCGCCCCACCCACCCACATACGGAGGCCTTAGTCCTCGACGCCGCCGACCCAGATTCCAATCCGACCTGTGGTCCTTGCCGCATGTCTCTCCACCACTGATGGTTCAACAACAAACCGGTTCCAGACTGGATGTTCTGGAACGACCACCAGTGTGACGTCACCATGGAGATGGTTTTTCCTGGCTGGTCATCGGAGCGCCGCTGTGGAGCTACTGGATGCAGGATATTCCTAATAACTCAGAACCAGCTGCTTGGTCCCTCTGCAGGATTCTAATGCTAAATGATGTCACGGTCATACCGCGTATACATGGGACACGTCTGAGACGACATGGAATCAAACTTGGTTTATGCTTGAAGCGAGCGTCAGGTCCGCTCCGCCGGCGTCATTTCTAACCCTCACACAGTGTCCAGAATTTCCCAGTGAGGAATGTTGGACGCCTTGGAGCTACGCAGACCTGGGGATGCCTGATCTAAAGTCTACAAACATCCTGTGATTTAGCTCAGAAACATCTCCACCATCTACAGGACTGCCGGTGGCTGCAGATCGGCAGGAAGAGGCTTCAGTCGTAAACAGCCGTGTTTTCCACGGGGCGGCGTGCTGGTGTTAGCTTACCGTCCCTCTGAGGATAAACCCTGCAGACGCGGCTCATTCCTTTATCGGTTGTAACCCGACCTTCAGACAGATGTCTCCTCACACCGCAGCCTCATTCTACAGAGGAGCCACCGCCGTGCCTCTTAGTCAGGCTCAGTTTAAGGTTAAATAATCAGCATTCTTTCTGAATGGAGGCATCCAGGTCTTTAGCAGCCATCCTGAAATCATCTCCTTCTCACTGTTTGCTGTGTTTGGAGTGTGAGACCTACAGCCAGAAGTTCTCTCCTTATTCCTCGCAGAGGGTTCCCCTCCAGCAGCAGCACCTTCAGGTTGGGCAGCAGACTCAGAGACGCCGGCAGACTGTGGAAGATAAACCCGCCTCCAGGATCACATCTTTAACCAGACCTCAGGAGGACGAGTCAGATGCTGCAGACCTACCTGCTGATGTCGTTGTTGGTGAGGTCCAGCCTGGTCAGAGGGAGCAGCGGAGGGATTTCCTCTGGAAGCTTCCTGATCTTGTTGTCTCTCAGCTCCAGCTGGGATACGGCCGTCAGACAGGCCAGCTGCTCCGCCTCCAGCTGCTCAATCTGGTTATTCCCAGCAAACAGCTCCTACAGACGCAGTGGGGATTAATGCCTGCACAGTCTGGGTGGACGCTAACGGGTCGCCACGGTTACCTTCAGTGCTGGGGCGGGGACCCGGGGCAGCCGCCGCAGCTTGTTGTGTCGGAGATAAAGCTGCTCCAGGGAACGCATCCCGGAAAGGCTGGCGGGAACGTCGGTCAGCTGATTGTTGCTGCAATCCAGCAGTCTGACGTCTGGGTCAGAATATGGAGGGATTAAGACACGGCATCAAACTACCGGTTCATCCCCAGGAAAATAACATCTAGAATGTTTTTATCTAAAATACGACGTCAGGAAACCAACTGGACTCACATGTTTGGAAAATAGACAGGATTAGATCAGATTAACTTTGATAGATCAGATTAACTTTGATAAATCAGATTAACTTTGATAGATCAGATTAACTTTGATAGATCAGATTAACTTTGATAGATCAGATTAACTTTGATAGATTAGATTAACTTTGATAGATCAGATTAACTTTGAATTATCAGATTAACCTTCAGAGATCAGATGAACTTTGATCAGATTAACCTTCAGAGATCAGATTAACCTTTATAGATCAGATTAACTTTGAATTATCAGATTAACCTTCAGAGATCAGATTAACTTTGATAGATCAGATTAACCTTCAGAGATCAGATTAACTTTGAATTATCAGATTAACCTTCAGAGATCAGATTAACTTTGATAGATCAGATTAACTTTGATAGATCAGATTAACCTTGATAGATCAGATTAACTTTGATAGATCAGATTAACTTTGATAGATCAGATTAACCTTCAGGGATCAGATTAACCTTGATAGATCAGATTAACTTTGATAGATCAGATTAACCTTGATAGATCAGATTAACTTTGATAGATCAGATTAACTTTGATAGATCAGATTAACCTTCAGGGATCAGATTAACCTTGATAGATCAGATTAACTTTGATAGATCAGATTAACCTTGATAGATCAGATTAACTTTGATAGATCAGATTAACTTTGATAGATCAGATTAACTTTGATAAATCAGATTAACTTTGATAAATCAGATTAACCTTGATAGATCAGATTAACTTTGATAGATCAGATTAACTTTGATAGATCAGATTAACTTTGATAGATCAGATTAACTTTGATAAATCAGATTAACCTTCAGAGATCAGATGAACTTTGATCAGATTAACCTTCAGAGATCAGATTAACCTTTATAGATCAGATTAACTTTGAATTATCAGATTAACCTTCAGAGATCAGATTAACTTTGATAGATCAGATTAACCTTCAGAGATCAGATTAACTTTGAATTATCAGATTAACCTTCAGAGATCAGATTAACTTTGATAGATCAGATTAACTTTGATAGATCAGATTAACCTTGATAGATCAGATTAACTTTGATAGATCAGATTAACTTTGATAGATCAGATTAACCTTCAGGGATCAGATTAACCTTGATAGATCAGATTAACTTTGATAGATCAGATTAACCTTGATAGATCAGATTAACTTTGATAGATCAGATTAACTTTGATAGATCAGATTAACTTTGATAAATCAGATTAACTTTGATAAATCAGATTAACCTTGATAGATCAGATTAACTTTGATAGATCAGATTAACTTTGATAGATCAGATTAACTTTGATAGATCAGATTAACTTTGATAAATCAGATTAACTTTGATAGATCAGATTAACTTTGATAGATCAGATTAACCTTGATAGATCAGATTAACTTTGATAGATCAGATTAACCTTGATAGATCAGATTAACTTTGATAGATCAGATTAACCTTGATAGATCAGATTAACTTTGATAGATCAGATTAACTTTGATAGATCAGATTAACTTTGATAGATCAGATTAACTTTGATAAATCAGATTAACTTTGATAAATCAGATTAACCTTCAGGGATCAGATTAACCTTGATAGATCAGATTAACTTTGATAGATCAGATTAACTTTGATAAATTAGATTAACTTTGATAGATCAGATTAACCTTGATAGATCAGATTAACTTTGATAGATCAGATTAACTTTGATAGATCAGATTAACTTTGATAGATCAGATTAACTTTGATAAATCAGATTAACTTTGATAAATCAGATTAACCTTCAGGGATCAGATTAACCTTGATAGATCAGATTAACTTTGATAGATTAGATTAACTTTGATAGATCAGATTAACTTTGATAGATCAGATTAACCTTCAGAGATCAGATTAACCTTTATAGATCAGATTAACTTTGAATTATCAGATTAACCTTCAGAGATCAGATTAACTTTGATAGATCAGATTAACCTTCAGAGATCAGATTAACCTTTATAGATCAGATTAACTTTGAATTATCAGATTAACCTTCAGAGATCAGATTAACTTTGATAGATCAGATTAACCTTCAGGGATCAGATTAACCTTGATAGATCAGAATAACTTTGATAGATCAGATTAACTTTGATAGATCAGATTAACTTTGATAGATTAGATTAACTTTGATAGATCAGATTAACTTTGATAGATCAGATTAACCTTCAGAGATCAGATTAACTTTGATAGATCAGATTAACCTTCAGAGATCAGATTAACCTTCAGAGATCAGATTAACCTTTATAGATCAGATTAACTTTGAATTATCAGATTAACCTTCAGAGATCAGATTAACTTTGATAGATCAGATTAACCTTCAGAGATCAGATTAACCTTGATAGATCAGATTAACTTTGATAGATCAGATTAACTTTGATAGATCAGATTAACCTTCAGGGATCAGATTAACCTTGATAGATCAGATTAACTTTGATAGATCAGATTAACCTTCAGGGATCAGATTAACCTTGATAGATCAGATTAACTTTGATAGATCAGATTAACCTTGATAGATCAGATTAACTTTGATGGATCAGATTAATTTTGATAGATCAGATTAACTTTGATAAATCAGATTAACTTTGAATTATCAGATTAACCTTCAGAGATCAGATTAACTTTGATAGATCAGATTAACCTTCAGAGATCAGATTAACCTTTATAGATCAGATTAACTTTGAATTATCAGATTAACCTTCAGAGATCAGATTAACTTTGATAGATCAGATTAACCTTCAGAGATCAGATTAACTTTGAATTATCAGATTAACCTTTAGAGATCAGATTAACCTTCAGGGATCAGATTAACCTTGATAGATCAGATTAACTTTGATAGATCAGATTAACCTTGATAGATCAGATTAACTTTGATAGATCAGATTAACTTTGATAGATCAGATTAACTTTGATAAATCAGATTAACTTTGATAAATCAGATTAACCTTGATAGATCAGATTAACTTTGATAGATCAGATTAACTTTGATAGATCAGATTAACTTTGATAAATCAGATTAACCTTCAGAGATCAGATGAACTTTGATCAGATTAACCTTCAGAGATCAGATTAACCTTTATAGATCAGATTAACTTTGAATTATCAGATTAACCTTCAGAGATCAGATTAACCTTCAGAGATCAGATTAACCTTTATAGATCAGATTAACTTTGATAGATCAGATTAACTTTGATAGATCAGATTAACCTTGATAGATCAGAATAACTTTGATAGATCAGATTAACTTTGATAGATCAGATTAACTTTGATAGATCAGATTAACTTTGATAGATCAGATTAACTTTGATAGATCAGATTAACTTTGATAAATCAGATTAACCTTCAGAGATCAGATGAACTTTGATCAGATTAACCTTCAGAGATCAGATTAACCTTTATAGATCAGATTAACTTTGAATTATCAGATTAACCTTCAGAGATCAGATTAACTTTGATAGATCAGATTAACCTTCAGAGATCAGATTAACTTTGAATTATCAGATTAACCTTCAGAGATCAGATTAACTTTGATAGATCAGATTAACTTTGATAGATCAGATTAACCTTGATAGATCAGATTAACTTTGATAGATCAGATTAACTTTGATAGATCAGATTAACCTTCAGGGATCAGATTAACCTTGATAGATCAGATTAACTTTGATAGATCAGATTAACCTTGATAGATCAGATTAACTTTGATAGATCAGATTAACTTTGATAGATCAGATTAACTTTGATAAATCAGATTAACTTTGATAAATCAGATTAACCTTGATAGATCAGATTAACTTTGATAGATCAGATTAACTTTGATAGATCAGATTAACTTTGATAGATCAGATTAACTTTGATAAATCAGATTAACTTTGATAGATCAGATTAACTTTGATAGATCAGATTAACCTTGATAGATCAGATTAACTTTGATAGATCAGATTAACCTTGATAGATCAGATTAACTTTGATAGATCAGATTAACCTTGATAGATCAGATTAACTTTGATAGATCAGATTAACTTTGATAGATCAGATTAACTTTGATAGATCAGATTAACTTTGATAAATCAGATTAACTTTGATAAATCAGATTAACCTTCAGGGATCAGATTAACCTTGATAGATCAGATTAACTTTGATAGATCAGATTAACTTTGATAAATTAGATTAACTTTGATAGATCAGATTAACCTTGATAGATCAGATTAACTTTGATAGATCAGATTAACTTTGATAGATCAGATTAACTTTGATAGATCAGATTAACTTTGATAAATCAGATTAACTTTGATAAATCAGATTAACCTTCAGGGATCAGATTAACCTTGATAGATCAGATTAACTTTGATAGATTAGATTAACTTTGATAGATCAGATTAACTTTGATAGATCAGATTAACCTTCAGAGATCAGATTAACCTTTATAGATCAGATTAACTTTGAATTATCAGATTAACCTTCAGAGATCAGATTAACTTTGATAGATCAGATTAACCTTCAGAGATCAGATTAACCTTTATAGATCAGATTAACTTTGAATTATCAGATTAACCTTCAGAGATCAGATTAACTTTGATAGATCAGATTAACCTTCAGGGATCAGATTAACCTTGATAGATCAGAATAACTTTGATAGATCAGATTAACTTTGATAGATCAGATTAACTTTGATAGATTAGATTAACTTTGATAGATCAGATTAACTTTGATAGATCAGATTAACCTTCAGAGATCAGATTAACTTTGATAGATCAGATTAACCTTCAGAGATCAGATTAACCTTCAGAGATCAGATTAACCTTTATAGATCAGATTAACTTTGAATTATCAGATTA